AACCCCCTCCATCCTCTCCCAGCAAAGGTGCAGCCTCATGCAAGAGGTCGCCATGCCTAGGATGGCTTCACCACAGCCCCCCGGGGTGCCACTTACAGAGCAGGAATTGGTGGCCTGGAAACTGGGACTGCTCAGCCAGGCCACCCCATCGGCGCTGCCCATGTGGAGGAAATAACCTGCGGGAGCCCTGGGTGAGCGGCAGGGCCGGTGCCCCTCGGCCCGCGGCAGCGCCCGCTCGGGTACCTGCGCTGCTGCCGTTGCTGTGGTCACGCGTGGGGAGGCCGGGGGTGGGTGCCAGGTTGGCGCTGCTGTTTCGCTGCCACGCGGCCGGCCCGGCCTCCGCCTCCCAGAGGCACAGGCCGCTCTCGAAGGTGCACGCGTCGAACGCCTCTGCCGAGGGAAGGGAGCGGTGACGCGGGGACGGGGCAGGGAGCCAGCCCCGCCACCGCGGTGCCCGCTGCTCACGGCACTGCGATGCAGCCTCGTCCGAGCCGTCCCCGCAGTCGTCGGTGCCATCGCAGAAGCACTCCAGGGCCACGCAGGAGCCGCGCTGGCACTCACCCTCCTCAGCCTCGCACACCTGCCTGCCCGGCCCTGGGGGCACGTGGGCACCGTCAGCTCCTCGCTGGCCACTGTGGGGTCCCCCCTCTCCAACACAGCAGAGCGAGGCCACAGCACGGCCACCACCCACGCAGCCCCATCCCTCCAGGGGTTTCCCTGTCCCAGGGGCAACTTTTCTCCACCTGCCCCATGTCCCCGCAGTGAGAGCGCTCCTGCTGGGGCCACACGCGGAGGCCAAGCCCAAACCCACCCGCTGGCTCCTGCCAACTCGTGTCCCAGTCCTGGGCAGGACGCAGGGCGAGTGCGCTGCATCTTACTCTGCAAGCCGCAGTTCCTGAACACAATGTCGTCCAGCGCCAGCTGTGTCCCCAGGGCGGGCGACGGCGTCACGGAGAAGGAGAGCTGCGACGAGAGCCCCGTGGCCGGTGGCAGCTGAGCTGTCCTGGCTCCAGGGATGGTGGCCAAGTGCCATCCCCCTTGGTGGCACCCAGTGTCCCCTGGGTCCCTTGTCTCCCGGAAGCCCCGCTCTGCTGCTCACTGGCCACCCCCAACCTGCCGAGCTGCGACTCACTGCCCCGTGTCACCTGGAAGGGCCCCGTGGTGCGACCCGGGTAGGCCACCAGCTCGTGCCAGCCCTCAGCTCCACGCTCGGGGCTCTGCCACAGCTCCACCGTCTCGGCCGCGGAGCCTTGCTGGCTCTGGGCGATGGGGACTAGGGTGCGCGGGCCCCGCCGGACACGGTTTTGCGAGCGTTGAGGAGGGGAACAGGAGGGCAGAGACCCGTCTCTGGGTGCTGGGGGCTGTGTGGCCACCAGGGGCTGTTCCAACGGGGAGATGACCCCGTCCCACTGCAGTGCCCCAACCAGAGCTCTGCAGCACCCCAAGCCGGGCTGGGCCTGCTGCTGCGATCCCAGCATGCTCACCGCTTCCCGAGAGGTGATACCACGCCTGGATCTCACAGGTGGCAGACGCTTCCCGCATCACTGGAGACTGGAGCCAGGCTGTGGCCGATGTCTTTCCGGGGGGATCTGCTGCAGCCATGAACCAGCCTGGGGTGGGCAGAGAGGGGGCTGTGTCCCCATGCGGTGGCGCCAGAGATGCTGCTGTCCCAGCACACGCTGAGCACCCTGGCTCCCGTCCCGGCCATGACACGGTGCCGGGCGCTCCCAACCCGCTCACCCAGATCAGTGCCCACGGTGTGGTCCGAGTGTGGCCCCGTGCCCCAGGCGGCCAGGCTGGCCCGGCTCTGCACCCATGCGTACGACGAGGTGCTCACGTCCCGCCAGCCGCAGTCACCTTCCTCGAAGTCACAGGTGAAGGGGGTGCCCAGCACTGGTGACACCCCCATGTACCCTGGGGACAGGCGCACGGGGCGTGAGGGCAGAGCAGGCTCTGCCGGAGCCGCC